AGCCATCTTGAATCGTGGCCAGCACACCCACAATAGTCCCAGATAGCCCAGAGTCTGTCGCACCAGCTGGAGCCATCAGACCCTCTCCTCTCTGGGCACCAGCGACCACTCCTCCCCCATCCTCTCCTCAGCCAACTGGGCCAGATGTTCATTACAAGTCTATTTCTTCCCTCTGAAATGATATCTATTAGCAAGGAGGCCAGTTGGAGCTAAGCATGCATGGCCAGCTATTGTCTTATTGGCCCATATAGTGTAGAAAGGAGAGACAGTGTGGGGACAGATTAAAGGTTGGCACGGTTACGGTCAGCAGTATGTTAAACGTAAGTGAGATGAAGAGTACAGTGATGGGGCTAATTAGGAAATGATGGCCACAAGGAACACGTCCAATAATGTGATCTATAAAGCACAATTGGGAGTTAATGTCAGCTGGTGCAATATAGAATGGATAACTGGATTTTAAGTATAAACCATTTTGCAAGAAACCAGAAGAAATTAGTTTGACCTACTGTTATTGTTATAGAATGAACTTTTAACTTAAAATCACTATGAAGATTATGTGTTTAATCCACCCCAGTTCAACCCCAAACTTAAAATTGTAAGAATAAGAATTATTTTTTGCCATTATTCCTCACCAGATTTAACAATTTAAATGTTACACTCATAATGTCATAGTGCACCACACTCAAATCATAACTAATTTAAATGGTCACAATTAGCAAAATGTAATTATTTATTCTATAAAGATCTACTGAAATAGTTTAGCTTTTTATATTTAAGTCTTCATTGTAATGTTAAAAGAGCTGTATGTAGCCAAGGCTTTGACAAGTTTAAAAACTATCACAGTTGAAGCTGGGTTGCCAGTGCCTTAACATGGACAGGCCACACATACAAGGGACACATACAAGTTTTCCTCATTCTCTCTGTATATGGACAGGCTCACTGAGCTGCAGAAGCTGCACTAGCACTGATTTATGTTTGGCGGTAGGTGTTGGGGTTTGGGTAGTAGTAGTGAGTAGTGAGGTTTGAGAGAGTCCTTTTAGGCTTAAACCAACTGGATTTCATTCTTGGCTACTGCTTACCCAAAGAAGAAACTCATGTGAGGCTCTTTCTGCTTTCATTTTTCTATAGCCCCTCAGCACTGATGTAATGTCAGACAATCATTAATAACAATTACACAATAAACATTTTCCTTTCTTTGTATAGATGAGAGAAAAGCGAGGAGAGGTTTAATTACCCCTCTGTAGCCCTGACTCTAACTGCAGGCTGGATTTCATAAAAAGCAGCTCCACTGTCACTGTCACTCCGATCACAGGCCAATAACTGCTGGAGCTGGAATCATAATTAAACATGTTATGTACTGAACATCAAACCTCACACCAAGAATAAGACATGCAATTAATCTCTATCTAAAAATAAGATCTGAAAAAGAAAGTGTTGTGTGAAGGTTTCATAAACTCAGACAAGAAGATTATACTGTACATGAGCTGCAACTCCCAAACTTTTCCATAAGATAAATTACAGACATACTTTCATTATGGGGGTTATATTTTGAAACTTATGAAATCACACATTTTAAAGATTTAATACAAATGCCATGATTTTACTTTATTACAGTTGGAATATATGGTTTTATTTCAGTCCACCTCTGTGTTTGATGCTATACCATATACCACCAATTACTGCACATTTAAAAGGAGCTAGATAAATATTCCATATGCACTTCAGAACAGGTTTGTGGAGGTGCACCATGTGACCTTTCCAGTGGGTGGTCCAGCACCTGCTTGTCTCACATGGAAATATGATTGCCTTTGCCTAGAACGTTCCGCAGTATGGCATTAAATGAATGAACGATATCACTGAATTATAGGTTAATTAATTCTCCATTCGCTGCTGGAAAAACCTGCAAGGCCAAGTTACAGACCTGACCTGTAAACAGTTTAATGCCATGCCGTGGAAGACAAGTAGCAGACTCTCTATTAAAAAAGTTACACTGTGCACCTTTAAAGGGCCCATACTGCACTATTTTCTTATACTCATAAAACACATATCTGGTTTTGTGTTTTGCTTCTATGACACATGTTTAAACACACACATTCTGGATATTTAGGCCAAGTTCTTCTCTCAAACACCCTGTTCCACTTTGTGATGTCATATTGTAATACAGGATGCCCTCCATACACCTTCACAAGAATAATTTGGATAATTTCAGCCTTGAATTTGCTGAATAAAAGGTAAAAGGTAGCTGTTAACTTCAATCACTACATGACATCACAAGGTGGAGCAGAGCATTTTGAGGTTTGGAGATGTAGACAGTCTCATAATAAATAAGTGTGTGAATGAAAACAAAACAACTCCAGGTATGGTTTGGATGAGGTATCAACATGTCTTAAAGCCCATAAGAGTTAATTTTGCATAATAAAAGACCTTTAATATGGAATAAGACCCCACTGAGATACAATATTTTGTAATTAGCAAAGAACATTTTATTGCCTGAAATTGCCATTATAATGTCACTAATTCCACAGCCCAACTACAAACATTTCATTTCAAATCTTATAGCCAATTTTGCTTCCCAATACATCCTCTGTACTATACTGAGAGCCTTATCCCACTGACAACACAAGAAAAACAGTAGCTATTTGATACCACTTTTGCTATGACACTTTATTCTGTGTATATGTAGCAAGATTTACAATACTTGGGTTTGATGCACTCTCTCGAGGCACAAACCTTGAGTCTCGTCTTTATTGGTATAAGATTGAGTTGGTGGATGTGTTTTTCCGATTAGTGTCTTTTTGTGGTTTATCTTGCGGAGAAAGGGGTGGGTGTTATGGCTCCACGGGGGGCACTGGTGTAGGAGGAGTGATTACAGATAGTAGTGAGGCTCTGTTCTAAGTGTGTATATTAAAAGTGTCAATAGCTCTGTGATGGAACACTCCAGTGGTTATAACTGCTATATGTACAGGGACATATCAAGAAGAAAAGCTTTATTTCTCCATTCATTTCGCCATATAGTAGAATGAATTAGGAATATTACTTTGATTTTGAATGACTAATTTCATAGTTTGCTTTTTATGATAACACCATGCATTTTTTTTGTTAAATGATCAAGATAATAGATATAAAAAATAATAATAATAATAAAATACACTGGAGCTTTGGAGAATTGTATAAATTAATAAAAGTTAAAGATTTCGCCAGTTCGAACAGTGTGAGAACATGAACTGTGAACTTTTAAACCCTGCAATTTGGTCATACAGTTTGAGTTGGGGCTGAGTGAAACAATCGAAAATGTCGCACAGTGCACGCCCAGCATTAGTAAGTTCATTTAGAGCAGAGGTCTCAAACCTGTAGCTCCACCCCCTTCCAAGTAGCTCGCCAAGGGATTTCTGAATTAAACATATTGTGCTAAATAAGTAAAATGTGAATAATTAAATGTCTATTACCATGGTACATGTATCATTTTGATGCCTAACTTTGTACACTACTAAATGTATAATGGTTTATGTTTTATAGACATTTAACTGTACCTCATCTAAGGCCCTTATATGTACTAAATGTCTTGTTTCTTGTTTCGTTTTAGAAGTATTATCTGTTCCATAAGGATGTGTTATTGCACAAGTTGTAGGGAGTATTATCTGTCCATCTATAGTCTGGTGCAGTGGGTGAGTTGTTGTACAGTTGTAGGGAGTATTATCTGTTACGTAAGGGTGAGTTGTTGTACAGTTGTAGGGAGTATTATCTGTCCATCTATAGTCTGGTGCAGTGGTGAGTTGTTGTACAGTTGTAGGGAGTATTATCTGTCTCTGTATAGTCTGGTGCAGTGGGTGAGTTGTTGTACAGTTGTAGGGAGTATTATCTGTCCATCTATAGTCTGGTGCAGTGGGTGAGTTGTTGTACAGTTGTAGGGAGTGTCTCTGTATAGTCTGGTGCAGTGGGTGAGTTGTTGTACAGTTGTAGGGAGTATTATCTGTCTCTGTATAGTCTGGTGCAGTGGGTGAGTTGTTGTACAGTTGTAGGGAGTATTATCTGTCTCTGTATAGTCTGGTGCAGTGGGTGAGCAGGAGTTTGTCCAGTGTCCTCGTGTCCCTCAGAGTAAATCAGTGGCGGTCGCCCCGTCCTTCTTGTCCTTCTTTCAGAGGATACTTCCGGACGTCAGAGCAGAGGTTCCTGATTGAACCTTTAACCTCTGACCCTGAGGGGGATCACGCCGTGAGCCCCTTCAATGAAGAAGAACGCTCCACTCCGGCCGTGTGCGGAGTCACCAACACCACGTGGGACGATGACTATGAACCACCAACCAGCCGGAGCCGCTCCAGATCAGGCGTGAGTAAACCAACAGAGGTTATCCAGGTGACATCAACAGTACACATTTTTAGAACGAGAAGCAACATTATATGGGTGTCAATGGTAAGTAATGTGAAAACTCAGGGCCTGTTTACACAAGAACGCTTGCAGGTAAAAACAACAAAATATTTTATCGGAAGTGCCTTTCGTTTAGATGGTGACGGCGTTTTTGGGGTTTAAAAACGCAAAAATCTGAAACCACCCTTCAGCGTGGAAAAGTTGTCGCTGTAGATTTTCCGTCTACACTCCCCACGATGCAAAACTCTGATGAGATCTGCTCACGTTGCGTACGCGTTTACGTCACATACATACAGTACACAGAAACGACAAAATATTTTATCAGAAGTGTCTTTCGTTTAGACGGTGACGGCATTTTTGGGGCTTAAAAATGCAAAAATCTAAAACCACCCTTCAGAGTGGAGAAGTTGTCGCTGTTGCGTTTCCGTCTACACTGCCCACGATGCAAAACTCTTGTCAGATGTGCTCAGGTCGCGTACACACATGTCACACATATACAGTACACAGAAACAAACATGTCGGTCTGGTCCCGGACCTGGATCAGTCCTGGTTCAGTCCGTACGCAGTGCAAAAGTTTGGCATTGCAGTCACGGAAGTCGCGTAAACGGGAAACTGCCGTTATCTGTTCTTTTCCATTCTTCATTTAAGCACAAAATCGAAAACTGAAAAAAAGGATCGTTATCCGTTTTTTCATTTTGGTTTTGGAGACAAATAGCGAAGAAAACTGTTGTATTTTCGTTTTCTTATTTTTGGTTTTATATTGAAAAACGAATGAACGAATGATACACGGATTCACATTCCAAGCGAAGCTATAATTTCCATGGAGACAACGAGGTAGAGGACCCTTCACCAGGAGAGTTGCACAGTGCACCTTTTAAAGAACAATTTTTAATCTGTTTGTAACGTTGTTCCCTCGTCAAAAACATACCTGTAGTTGTATTTCTCTTTATTCACCTTTGTTTCAGTAATCCTATTTACGAGGTCTTCTTGCTCTAAGCTTGTATTATCATAGTTAATATTTTCCCAGATTGTTACATCATAGATAGAAATTTCTGAGCAGTTTTTAAGTCCATAAATTATTGTCAGAGTTGTTCCCGTTAAATTTCTGTCATCAAATTTAATCCATTACAACTGCAAGCTGGTCATGTTGCTTAAATGTACTGATTCATTTACATTTCTGAGACATTGCTACAAGACAAAGATTCTAAAACCCGTTTTTCCTGATAATAATGAATAATTCTTGTGTATTTTCAGGGGATCACCATTGTTCAGCAGCAGAAATACCTGGAACTGTATCTGGTGGCTGATAACAGACTGGTATGTAGTTGATTATAGGAACCTAAAATGTGTTACATTGTGTGAGTAGTGTGTTCCTTGAATTTTCTGAAGTAAGACTGTGCGGTTTTGTTTCAGTACCTGAAAATGAAGCAAGACGTGGCGGAACTGAGAAGAGAGATATTTGAAGTGGTCAACTTTGTTAACATGGTGAGTAAAACAATCAGTAAGATTTTCTCTTTCTCTTTAGTCAGTGATTAGCTTGGACTGACCTACAGCCAGTCCTCTGCCAGTAAAAAGTGTGTGATTAGGAGCAGAGTTCAGATTTTGGAGGAAGAACTTGGACTATTTTTTTATGTTCAATGACACTGATTAATAGAGGTACACAAAAATCGTACATACCTCAGTTTTGAGGTCAGTTCATTTACGGTACAGTACGGGAACAAAATGCTAAATCATTTGCTTGTTGTTTATTCAACAATTTGTTTTAACATTATGCAAACGGGAAAATAGAATAAATGCAAAGTGCTGTTTGGTTATACAAATAAGTTCAATGAAATATTCTCAAATATCAACAAATGTATGAAATATTATAAAAAATAAATTCCTTGTAAACATTAAACAAAATTTTTCACAAAGTAAAACACAGCACTAACAGTTTCAACATGAACTTTTACTCAGTATTCAGATTTTTTTTGCCCAGAAAAAACAACTTGACCACAGTGTCTGCAGTAAGTGCAGATCTGCTGACAGGGAAGGGGCGGGGGCAGAGATTCCGTGCCAGCGAAAGACAAAAGCGCTGCTTTTTTTTTGAGCTGGTAAAAAAAAAAAAAAAAAAACACTTAGAAAATAGAGCCCAAATGACCTGCCTCTTTTTTTTTTTTTTTTCTCTTGCCTCTCAGGGCTTCCGTAATTTACATATAAAGTTACATATAAATAAAAGTGAGTGGTCTTTGCTTTCATTCATTTTTAATAAGTTGTTTATTTAATATGTTTAGTTTTAAGAGACAGTGAGCTATCATTCTTCTGTGCATGGGAATCTTGAAATGTGGTGCTTTGTTCCAGGCATACAAACCTCTGCGGACCTTCGTGGCTCTGGTGGGGCTGGAGGTCTGGTCCAGAGAAGACCAGATTACAGTCACTCCTCCAGCCGGAGCAAACTTGGACGCCTTCATGAAGTGGAGGAACACAGAGCTGGTCAAAAAAAAGAAGCATGACAACGCCCATCTGCTCAGGTCTGACACATCAGCGAGCTCATTATGTAAACATTATGCAAAACTACTGTTCCGAGCTTTACGGTGTTGTCCCCTCATCAAAACTGTACTCGGAGTATTGTATTTCATTCACACTTGTTTCATTAATCCAAAATCATCTTCTTTGAACACTCAAAATTGTTAGTTTTGCACAAATTTTTGAGTCACTGATAAAAATCTGGGTTTTCCTTTGCAGTTTTTAAGCACAAAAATCATCACTGGACTCCTTCTGCGGTCAAACTGTGTTCACAACAAAAGCATTTGTTTATAGAACTGGGCTTCATTTGACTGGAGGCAAACACTATGGGTGACGTCACACTCCCTCAGTCCAATTCTGTGCACACTCTGCTCACACCGTATTGTTTACTTTGGGAAGACCCACCTTGCCTGTGTGAAGTCTTGCCCAAGTGCACAATGGCAGAAATCACAGGTAGGAGCTTGGAGCCAATCACTGACATACAGTATTATTGTTTGTTTTCAGTGGAATAGACTTTGAAGGATCCACCGTTGGACTGGCCTTCATCGGAACACTTTGCTCGGGACACTCAGTCGGAGTGGTGCAGGTAACTAATACTTTATAACAGTTATGTGCATGTCACTTACTCGCCTCCATGGAGATATTATTGATTTACTCCATAGTGTGGCATTAAACTTATCTATCTCCATGGAGACAAGCAAGAGGCACATCCAGGCTAAGTTAAGGGTCACATTTTTTTCAATATAAACACCAGTAACTGAATAAATGCCACATCAGAGGTTCATTTTGATTTTATATGAGAATGAATAAAATAAGACAGAGAGGTTTAATTTTTTCTTGGAAAATTCGACGCATCTTTGTTTCCAGTGTCTTAACCTGCAGAGGACACATACAAGTTTGTCTCATTCTCAGTTTATGGACAGGCCTCATGTGAAAACTCAGAGCCTGCAGAATTCCCTCCCTGAGCTGCAGAGGCTGCACTAGCACTGACTCAGGCTTGGTGCAGGTGCTGGTCCAGGTTTCTGTCCAATGTTTTTGTAGTCAAGAATAAATCAGCATTACAATTATTACCAATAAAAACTATATTGGATTTGAACATATTCACCTCGTTTCTGGTGGCACAGATTAGATCAGGTCAGATTTATGGAATGTAAGAAACAAAACCTGAAACCAACCTCCAGCCGTAGTGTTTCTGTCTACACTGTCCAAGACGCAAAACTCTGGTCAGATGTGCTCAGGTCACGTACATGTTTATGTCACACACAGACAGTACACACAAACAAACATCAATCAATCAATCAAACTTTATTTATAAAGTGCTTTTCATACAAAAATGCAACACAAAAGGCTTTACAGTGATTAAAAACAATCCCACATTTCCATCCACCCACTTACCCAACCCCCACAGCTGCCCGACTCCACACAACCAAACAACCCAGACACACACACACACACACACACACACTAACATGGTAAAATACATAAAATCACCTATAGTAAAATGTGAGGCTGAATACAGGTGAACCAGTTGAGAAAGCACCATCAGAGGAACATGTCTGATCATTTTCATGTGTCGGACCTTCAAGCTGCAGCCCCAATAAACTTACAGGAGGCTCCCAACAAATGTACAGAATCTGCAGAGATACAGAACAGAGAAGGATCTGCAATCACCTCTGTCAAATTCTGGATGCACCAGTTGGTCGCAGGCGAGTCAGGCGGATCTGGACGAGACCTGGAGAACCAACTTTGTGGAAGGAGTAGCTGATAACAGAACACAGATTTATGGAATGTAAAAAACAAAATCTTCCGTATGGTTCCTTAAAGCCTGGACTCTTGTCTGTGTAGGACCACAGTGACCGGGCGATAGCAGTGGGGGCGACTCTGGCTCATGAGATGGGGCACAATCTGGGCATGAACCACGACGACTCCAGCGCCTGTGTGTGCCAAGGAGACAGCTGCATCATGGCGCCCTCTCTAAGGTGAACAAGACACAATATTCATCATGAAATTAATGCTGCGTAGGCCTGTGTCCAGATTAAAATATAACTTCATGTTTTATAAAGTGTTATTGAGTATTGAAGTTATTTGAACTCTGTTTCATGTGTTTAGTTGGAACGTTCCTCGGAGCTTCAGCAGCTGCAGTGGAACCAACTATGAGAAGTACCTCCTGAACCGCAGTCCCGGCTGCCTCCTCGACAGACCTGAATACAGAGCCCTGGTGATCCCCGGTGTCTGTGGGAACGGCTTTGTGGAGGCTGGAGAGCAGTGTGACTGTGGCACTGTGGAGGTAAAACACCTTTTGTCCACTGACCAGAAGGTTCTTGGTTGAATTTCCAAATCCAACTTTTTCACTGTATTGTCTGCATTTTCTTTTCTTGCAGCATATTTTTACTCCAACTTGTAATATTTTTTAATTGAAGTAACAGTACTCTTACTTGGAGTGACAAAAAATTTCTGTGGACAATATGAAATTAATCCTTTTTTTTTTTTTTTCCGGGCACGTTAACGCGTAAATTTTGCGTTAACTAATTAATTAATTTTTTATTTTTTTTTTTTTTTTTTTGTAAACACCTGTTGCTCATTGGCTTTTCTTTTATTTTGAAAAAGTCCACCGTGTTTCTTTAAGTTTGATGTCTTTTCTTTACACTTTGTTCTCTTTTTTCTGACCACATGAGAGGCAACGTGTCCTTGCCTCTGCGGCCCGCAGCCGTGGGCTCTGAGCTTCCATGGGCTCCAGCTTTGACTGGTCTTTCTCTTTGTTCTCCTTCTTCCAGACGCCCCTGAGGCGTACAAATAGAGGTTTGCAGTGCGGTTTTTGTCGCTGCGGTCTGGTTTACATAATACTATTACAGGGTATTCACTAAGGCCCGGTAGATTTCATGATATGATCCCGCCCATAGCTCAGTCACTGATTTCCCCAGATACCACTGGAAGAAAAACTGTGATTGGTCCATTTCCATTCCATTATATTAACCCTTTGTTTCCCAAGAAATATCAGCCCAAGTTTATAACAATGATCTAGAAATTATTACTACAGTAGTGTTTATTACTCACTGAATAAAAAATATTGAAAAAATATATTAGTAGTACAAAAATTCATTCAGTATTTTTTCTTGAGCCTTCAGAATACCTTGAAGACTCTGCGGGTTCAACTCTGAAAGAAATACTGTTTGAACAACAAATGTTTGGCTCTTTCATTTACATTTCCAATAAAAGTCACTATACTCTACTTTTTAATTCATTCATTGGTTTTGCGTATAACATGCGATTAATCGTGATTAATAACACTCAAACTCATGCAATTAATCCAATTAATATTTTGTATTTTTGCCCAGCCCTACTTTATTTTGAACACTGCAGACAAAAGTAAAAGAAAATATAATGTAGTTTTCCTCATTTTTGTCTCTATCCTGTCCAGATTTAGTGCATTATATTATTTTTGGGGGTTGAGTTTAACAACCCCAGCCTCAGTTGTGAAGCCTCAGTCTTTCCGGAGTGATATTTGAAAAGAGACAGCGCAGGTTTAACCTGATTCTTAGAAAGATTCATCCGTTTTATTCGTTTTATTGCGTATGTATGTGTGTCCCCTCTGGGCACCCATAACCCCAGTAGAAATCCATGCAGTGATTTATTTGCAGAGATGGGTAGAGTAGCCAAAAATTCATGGAAGTGTAACTTCAAATACGGTTATTCAAATAGAACTACACATGTAAGAATAAAAAAGTACTTGGGAAAACTACTACTCAAGTAAGTGTAACGTAACATTTGTTTTATAGTTTGGAGGTAATTTAATTTGAAAGACAAACACTGAACAAAGCACAAAATCTGGTATTTTCAAAGGAGAGATTAAAAAATAATTTAAAAAAAAAACAAAATAAAGAAGCATATCTGAGCATTGCAAGAAACTCAAACGTTCAAATCATTTCATATCGTCAGAGTACTGTTACTTCAATAAAAATATGACTCATGTAGGAGTGAAGTACCTTTTATTTTAAAAGTAAATGTAACTGAGTCGTAGACACCTCTGACAATGATTTCTCACGGCCTGTTTACACGAGCTTGTGGGTTAAAACGAAAAACTATTTTATGAGAAGTGTCTTTAGTTTAGACGGTCACACGTTTTTGTGACTTAAAATCTGACACCACCCTCCAGAGTGGAAAAGTTGCATGCACTCCGCCGTAGTGTTTCCGTCTACACTGCCCAAGACGCAAAACTCTGGTCAGATGTGCTCAGGTCACGTACGCATTTACGTCACACACATACAGAACACACAAACAAACATGTCGGATCATTTCCAGGCATCAGACCTTCAAGATGCTCTAATAAACTTACAGGAGACTCCCAACAAATGTATAGAATCTGCAGAGATACTATTAGTGAACAGAGAAGGATCTGCAATCACCTCTGTCAAATTCTGGATGCACCAGTTCGTTGTAAGTGAGTCAGACGGATCTGGACGAGACCCGGAGAAGCAGTCGATGGTGGGACAACTTTGTGGAAGGAGTACCTGATGAAAATGGTTGCTTTAAGTACCAGCATACCCAATCAAATTCCACACACTTTTGCTTCACCGTATGCACTCAGATTTAATCTCGAAAATGCTTGTCTAAACGCGGATTAAAAAGTGAAGACAGGACGCTACTTTTGCATCTTCTGCTCAGACCGTCATCATATGAACTTAGGCTACGTTCAGACTGCAGCCTGAAGTGACCCAAATCCGATTTTTTGGCCCCTATGTTCCTGTATCTGATCTTTTAATGACAGTCTGAACCACACAGATCAGATTTTTTCAAATGTGACCCAGGACATTTGGATATGTGCTCATGGAACTGATACATATCTGATCTTTTGACATGAGACTTCAGTCTGAACGGCCAAAGCGCATTCATCCACCTACATGTTATCACACGGTGGACTTGGCTATTGTGTGGTAACAAGCACCTGTTGCAAGAGCCAATACAGCGCAACACCGACATGTTTGCTCATGGAAATAAGCCACCGAAGATGTGTTTCCTCCTGCGAGAGTGGCACAAGTAGGCACTCACAAATGTACACAAACGTTCTTCTCTTCATACGAAAATTGTTAATGAACTCCATGTCACTGAAGTGAAGCACATCACCACTCACCACTCTTGGCTCCGTCTCCACATCCACACGTTCCTTTCCCACAAAACACCACGACCAAAAACCTCGTCCTTCTCCTTCTCAATCTCCTCCTTAAAACAAGTAAGTTGTTCATGTTCTGGCTCCAGTACGAGAGGAACTTTAAAATCTCCAGTTGCTCAATGCTCACGTCCACGTTTGGACAACTTCTGTAAACACAGAGACGCTCACTGCGGTTGACGTCGTCGTGTCTCCAGTGCACATGCGGGACACTTTTTCGCCGTTTAAAGTTCACGCTGGAGATCACATACAAGTCACATTTAATTGGAAATATGAACGACCTCGCAAAAACATCGGATTTCACACAAATAATTGAGCATTAAGCCCTGCAGTCTGAACGTAGCCTTAGCCTGATATTTGAAAAGAAACAGCTCTGATTTAACCCAGTTCTTATAGAGAGAGAGCCTGTTTTATTGCATGTATGTTTGTCCCCTCTGGGCACCCATAACTCACTCCCACTCCATGCAGTGGTTTACATGTCTGTAGTTGTAAAAAGAGTATGAAAAATCTGACACTAAACGATACTAAAATTAATATCAAAACTAGATACTCAATGGTGTAGGTATGGATCCTAAAAGAGTCACATTCACAGGACAGAAATGAACGTTTAGAATGATCTTGAGCTGTATCAGAACAAGAGCACAAAGACCAGTACACACCCACGGACCACATAAGGCCACATAGTAATATAAAAGAAAGTACTACCATTTAATGTTGAAAACCACCTTCTATTGTCTAAATAAATAGTGTACATTTTTGTTTATTTTTTAGGCTAATACTTTCTAATCTGTACATGCTGAGTAATTTGTGAGGCATCTCCACAGTCCCTGTTTAAACCTGCACATGCCTGGAACTGCACTTTTATTAGAACAAGGCTCGATAGACTTGTTTATTGCACAACGCCATTATTTTATATTACGCCAAGTATTGAAGCGTTCGTTCCATGGAAGCGATTTGAATAAACAAATTCAATTAAACAAGGCTACAGTGATAGAGGACTACTGGAAACTATGCAAAGTGAAATATTAGTCACAGTTTATTATTATTATTATTATTATACACTACCCAGTACCCATAAAATACTCTTCCAACAGTGTAATAATCTGTAATAACATGTAATTATGTAGACTTTTAAGTCCATTGAGAGTTCAACTGCTCAGTACAGTCTGATTAAATGTTCTTAGGGGTTTATTGGTCTAATCTCTCATTCATCCAGAAGTGATCCACTGGTATGTTTGATTCCAAAAAGGAAAAAATAAAGGTGTCTTTCGTTTAGATGGTGATGGTGTTTTTGGGGCTTAAAAATGAAAAAACCTGAAATCACCCTCCAGAGTGGAAAAGTTGAATACGCTCCACCGTAGTGTGTCCATCTACACTGCCCAAGATGCAAAACTCTGGTCAGATCTGCTCAGGTCACACATTACGTCACATACATCACCACCATCATCGTATGCATGCAGATTCCTCCCGAAAACGCTCGTCTAATAAATAAAACGTCATATACGGTATTTTCCAGACTATAAGTCACTCCAGAGTATAAGTCGCACCAGCCAAAAAATGCGCAATGAAGAAGAAAAAACATATATAAGTCACACCAGACTATAAGTTGCACTTTTTTATTTTGTAAAATCAGAGACCAGGAACCGACATTTCATCTTGAAAGTCAAGTTCTAGAAATAACAACAGAACAGAGAACAAGAGACTGAATAGGTGTTAAAATGTTAAAAAATAAAATAAATAAAGTAACATATGAACAGTTCTTCAGACAATTATAGTATAAACAACAGAACAGAACAAGTTTACCAAACTCATGATCTCACTCCAAATCACTAAATCCATTGAATTCTTCATCCTCTGTGTCACTTCTGCGTGACTTCCAGAGATAAACCATAGATCCATGAGGTAAACAGAGCGCCGCTTATCCTTCTGTGTAGCTGGCATCAGACTCAAGCATCAGTTCCAGTTAGAATTATTCGGGCCTTTCTGAATCCCAACAGGATGTTTCTTGTAGTCATTGAAGTTCAGGTTTTGTCGATTCATCCAGTGACTTCCAGGAAAGTTTCATGGTGCATCCTCCCAGTTGCCGTGAAGTTGTGTTCTCCATCCACGCTTTCCACCAGTCCCTCACAAGTTTCTCTCTCACTCCAAACTTTCTTTCTGCTGCTCGATTACCATTTTCAACTGAATATTTCATGACTTGCAGCAGGACAGAAGCTCTTTCTGCAGGAGACATGAGCAGTAGAGTGAAGTGACAGTGGTACAGGAGGAACAGGAGCAGCAGATACTCACACACAAGACTAGAACCTCTCACCGCTTCAGTGTGAACATTTTAATATATAAGTCACAGGAAACACCCAAACCATGAAAAAAAGTGCAACTTATAGTCCGAAAAATATGGTAAACGTAACCTTAGTAAACTATTCCCATCTTAAAAGTGCACTGTGTAACTATCTGGAGGAGATGTTCATGAAATAGGATTCATAGCAAAGGAGAAATTCAACTCAAATTAAATTCAAATCAAATGTTTCGCAGCTCGTCCAAGCTTCTTCTTCAGTTCTGGTCATGCTGGTGGACACTGCTTCTTTTTACCCATAAAAGCAGAAATAAGACCAACTATGAGTACACTTTATTTAAGCTTACTTGAATACTAGCGGTTATCATGTAGCCTGAGTAATTCCTTAAATCCACTGTAGCCTTCTCAGACATAGCTCGACATTCCTTGTTTGGGAAGTGTGTCAAGTCTAAACTGTTCTATCTTCACCAGGTATCTGTAACAAGAACATTCCTCTTCTGTGCTTCACCAAAATGTGGACGTGTCTCTGCCCGTCTCTCCATAAAACCCACCTGCAGGGCACACTTCAGACCGCACACTTCTCTTTAGGCCTAGATACAAAACACCTCACCTCAGCCTATCCTAGTGTTACTGCTAAAAGCCTTATTAGTACTCGGAATGACTCAGAGAAGATGTGCCGACCAGATGGAGAGGGTGAAAGATGGATTCAACTTTTTGTTTCTATGAAAATGTCATTGCTCTGCCTGGAATGTTCCACAGCTCTATCTTACATTTATACAATTACAGGTGGTTTTAGAGCTCAAAAATACCTAGAAAAACAAACATATGCATCACGAATTTCGGGCTTCCAGTCATTGCGCAATGCGTACTGAAAAGGGTTTCCCCGTATGCATTGCGCAATTTTCTGAAAAAGTGAGCATCCAGTCTTTTCTAGTCTTTTGAACCACATCACTTTTGTTTCTGGTTCTGATATTGTCATATTTTACTTTTGGGATTCGGACATTGTAATTGTGTAGTTGTTGGATCCTAACAGCGGAAAACGGCTTGAGAAATTTGCTTGCAAACTTCATAATTGCAAAAGGGAATCAGATGTGTGTGACTGCAAACCTCTGTTCAAACTGTTTCTCTTCCCAACGGAATTTAAAAATAGTGAAAGGTGAAGGTGATGGGCAGGATTGATCCACAGGAAGAACCAAAAAGGAAAACTTTGTCTGCCTAAATCATCCTGAGTTTGCAGTGAACATTTTGTATGTGGAGCGACAACAAAAGCCAATCCCAATCCCTCACTCAAACTTGCTATGAATTTAAAAAGTCAACTTCAAAGCAAAAGGCACCAGCTGTTCACCAAGAAACACCTTCCACTGCAAAGAGACCAAGACGTGATGTTACTGTAAAACCACAAGAACAAGAAAGTGCAGCTCAGTCTGTTTGTCTTCTGCTTTTGTTCTCGTTCCACATACAAAATGTTCGCTGCAAACTCGGGATGATTTAGGCAGTCAAATGTTTTCTTTTTGGTCCTTCCTATGGATCAATCCTGCCCATCGCCTTCACCTTTCACTATTTTTCAATTCCGTTGGGAAGAGAAACAGTTTGAACAGAGGTTTGAGTCACACACATCTGATTCCCTTTTGCATTTATGAAGTTTGCGACCTTCTGAAGCCCGAGCCGTTTTCCGCTGTTACGACATCCAACAACCACACAATTACGATGTCTGAATCCCAAAACTAAAATATGACAATATCAGAACCAGAAACAAAATGGATATGGTTCAAAAAACTAGAAAAGATCGACTTTGTTAATAGACGCATCCCACTGGGAAATTAAACATGGTGGTTTGATGCTCACTTTTGCAGAAAATTTCAATGACCGGAAGTCCAAAATTCATGATGCATCTATTGTGATTGTGAGCATGGTCACCTCTCCACAAATCTGACCCCTATCTTGGTCTGGTTTGGTCTCCATGAAGACAGAAAGGTTTAGTACCGTACTGTGCAACCAAAAATGTCGCAAAATGCACATTTAAAGTTGGACTAACCAGCTAAACTCTGCCCACAACCACATTTCAAACAGAATCTTCTAAACCGGGCAGAACCTGGAGGACTAAAAGAAAAAGTAAAAAAGGAAAAGAGTGAGAGAGGAATAGGTGTGATGGGTCCAACAGATATCCACACTTCAAATCTTCAAATTCTTCTCCTAATCAGCGCAGTTCTTCGTGATGTCACATAGTACTTGGAATTGCGGTTGTGACTGGAGGCAGCACACGCTCACTATTGACCAGAAAACTTGACCAGAAAACTGTACATTCACGTAGTTTGCACTGAACCTGCCAAAAATGAGGTGCTTATGTCTAATTCAAGGTGCTGTACAAGACTTAAAAACTTGAAAAAATAGGAGTCGTTCATTTGAAACAGTTTTAATAGAGAGTTCTTCCTCACCAGTGTTGGGAAGGTGACTTTTCAAATGTATTCCCCTACAGATTACAGATTACACACCCCAGAATGTAGTTTGTAACAGAATCCATTAATTTACTTAAAGTGAGTAATGTAATCTGAATACTTTGGATTACTTGATATTGTCATGTTTTTTAAAACTACATGAATGTAGCAACACATCCTGAAAATTCTTGTTTGTTTTCTTCAAACTGGCCCTGGTTTAGTCCTGGTTTAGTCCTGGTTTAGTCCTGGTTTAGTCCTGGTTTAGTCCTGGTTTAGTCCTGTTTAGTCCTGGTTTAGACCTGGTTTAGTCCTGGTTTAGTCCTGGTTTTAGTCCTGGTTTAGTCCTGGTTTAGACCTGGTTTAGTCCTGGTTTAGTTCTGGTTTAGTCCTGGTTTAGTCCTGGATTTAGTCCTGGTTTTAGTCCTGGTTTAGTCCTGGTTTTAGTCCTGGTTTTAGTCTTGGTTTAGTCCTGGTTTAGTCCTGGCTTAAGTCCTGGTTTAGTCCTGGTTTAGTCCTGGTTTTAGTCCTGGTTTTAGTCCTGTTTAGTCCTTTAGTCCTGTTTTAGTCCTGGTTAGTCCTGGTTTTAGTCCTGGTTTAGTTCTGGTTTTAGTCCTGGTTTAGTCTGGTTTAGTCCTGGTTAAGTCCTGGTTTTAGTCCTGGTTTAGTCCTGGTTTTAGTCTGGTTTTCCTGGTTTTAGTCCTGGTTTAGTCCTGGTTTTAGTCCTGGTTTAGTCCTGGTTTTAGTCCTGGTTTAGTCCTGGTTTAGTCCTGGTTTAGTTCTGGTTTAGTCCTGGTTTTAGTCCTGGTTTTAGTCCTGGTTTAGTCCTGGTTTAGTCCTGGTTTTAGTCCTGGTTTTAGTCCTGGTTAGTCCTGGTTTTAGTCCTGGTTTAGTCCTGGTTTTAGTCCTGGTTTAGTCCTGGTTTTAGTCCTGGTTTAGTCCTGGTTTAAGTCCTGGTTTAGTCCTGGTTTAGTCCTGGTTTAGTCCTGGTTTTAGTCCTGGTTTAGTTCTGGTTTAGCCCAAAATGTGAAAACAAGAAAATACCGCCATGTAATCCATTTATTTCAACAAAGTAACTGTAATCCGATTACCACTCACTGAAACAGTGACTGTAACTGAATACAGTTACTCATAATTAGTTTTTTAATTTCTCTGATTACGTAACTCCAGTACATGTAATCTGTTACTCCCCAACACTGTTCCTTGTGCATTCTGAACATTCTAATAATTCACTGTGATGATCTTATGAGCGTTTTTTACAACTCTTAGAAAACAGTGCAGAGTTTTAATCTCAAGAGTTGCTTATACAATATATCTGTGCTGCGAACACAACCCAACTGCTTGTAAATGTTTGCTTTGTTTTGTTTGTTTTGACAGGAGTGCACCAACCGCTGCTGTAACGCCTCCACCTGTGCCTTCAGTGAGGGCTCACAGTGTGCAGAGGGAGAGTGCTGTCAGGACTGTAGGGTCAGTATATAATTATCACTGTGCAGCTACGGTTGTGTTTCAGGTGACACCACAGCGTTCTGTAGGACAATATTATTGAATACAGTTAAAATTGATATTGTTCAGCTGCAGATTTTTGTTGCATTATAACATGGTCTCGGGTTGAGTCAATAACAGAAATGATCAGGTTCCATGTTTCTGAATTCACCTGATATTTTATGGTTATGGAGTAAGAAAGCTTTCAAAAATATTTGTGCGCACAGAATAGAAATCGGTGCGTATTTGGGAAATCGGTGCGTATTTGTAAATATTTGTAAACTCTCAAATAAGTCCAGTCGTACATAAAATAAATTGTGTGTATTTTATCCCTCAGAATATGAACTGAAAAGTTACGACGTCAAGAATTACAATCACGAAATGAAAATTTACGATTACGCTTTCATCAGTACAAATACGAATTCACAGACGCGAATTTACTGTCAAAAATACATCATCACTTCACAGACATTATTTATCGAGCAGAAGAAACATCGATCAAGATCAAGACTGTGCATGTTTAAGTTTGTAGCAGAGGGTAAAAACAGAGTAATGGCACAAACAAGGAGCTACAACAGCGACCAACAAGTGGGTTCATTCAAATTTATTGTAAAAATGTTTTGTCTTGCCACATCGTATTTGGGAACCAAACGCTGCTGTGTAATATTGTGTAGAAACACCTCCTCTGAACAGGAAATTGCACATAGATCTTAGTAGAAACATAGAGGAGTCAGTTGGTGAACATCAGATATAACGTTATCACAAGGCTAATGAGCAAATATCAGCGTTTTCTGTATGTTTAAATTAAAACATTCAAGGCTACAGCCACAGCAAGCAGTTAGTCAAGTCTAAACCTTCACCTCAGCTGCATTTCTCGCATGAAATGTGACCAAAAGTTCCTTGGGACGCTGAAATGTGCCAGTTTACACCAAACGCTGCCAAACTGACAAAACATTTTTACAATAAATTTGAATGAACCCACTTGTTGATCGCTGTTGTAGCTCCTTGTTGTGCCATTACTCTGTTTTTACCCTCTGCTACAAACTTAAACATGCACAGTCTTGATCTTGATCGATGTTTCTTCTGCTCGATAAATAATGTCTGTGAAGTGATGATGTATTTTTGACAGTAAATTCGCGTCTGTGAATTCGTATTTGTACTAATGAAAGAGTAATCTTAAATTTTTATGTTGTGATTGTAATTCTTGACGTCGTAACTTTTCAGTTCATATTCTGATGGATAAAATCCACACAATTTATTTTATGTACGACTGGACTCATTTGAGAGTTTACAAATATTTATTTTATGCTCAACTACAGACAAATATGCACCGATTTCCCAAATACCCACGGATTTCTATTCTATGCGCACAAATATTTTTGAAAGCTTTCTTACTCCATACATGGTCAAGTACAATGTAATTTACAAGAAAACCTGGCCCCCCATCTGAGAGTTTGACATCATCACATTCTAGAATCTGAAACCCACCAATAAACTTTTCAAATGGATGGACAGAGGTAACTGTTCCAAATCAAAAGTGAACTCTCACACATAATGGATATAACTGTGGGTAACTTTTCAAGTGAGGGGTCAGCTACCTTGGAGTTAAAGTTTCCATGGAGATGTTGGTCTGGATTTGTTAAATTTAAACTTAAAGGCAGACCCAAAGTTATATTGTGTACTTTTTGCTGCAGTCGGGTCGTCAAAGTAAAAATAACCCTTTGCTTTGTTTTGCTGCAGCCTAAATGGAGAAATGACTTAAACGGCTTAAACTGTTTTGAAATACAACAATTATGATGCAAGTTAAGCAGTTTTAAGTACTTCATGTACTACAGTCCCTTTCCCACAATGTTACAATATATCTTACATAACTACACAACGGCAACAATTACCAGTGTTCTACAGTAGTGCGTCAAATACAGGTTTTCTTATTCTACTGCATCGACATCTCTACAGAAAAGAGCATTTTCAAATCTGAAGAAATGATGTTGTACTCAGATGGAGGATTTTGGTTGTTATAGAAATTCTCTTCCATTTGACCCTCTGTTAATGCCAGTGTCAGGAGCAGTGAGTGCAAAAACAGACACAAAGAGAATATGAATCTCCCCACACTGTCACTTACTCCGGTCTTTGCAGATGTCCATCTAGATTTGTTGGAGCATGTTCACAATCTCATGTCTCTTTGTCTGTCTGTGTGTGTGTGTGTGTGTGTGTTGTGTGTGTTGTGTGTGTGTGTGTGTCAGATCGCGGGGCGCTCTCGTGAGTGTCGTCCTCAGCAGGATGAGTGTGACCTGGCTGAATACTGTGATGGAGAGAGCGCGCTCTGTCCAGAGGACGTGTTCAGTGTGAACGGTCTGCCCTGTGACAGCGAAAAGGGATTCTGCTACAACGGACAGTGTCCCCAGAGACAGACCCAGTGTGTGAAGATGTACGGACCAGGTGAGCAACAGAGCTACTCACTGGGGACTATGGATGGGCACGATCGGTCGACTAATCGATAATTGATCATTAAGAATTTTGTCGATTACGTTCATTTCTAATCGATAAACCGAATGTAGGTTTCTGTGTGTATATGAAGCTACGTCTGACAGAGCAAAACACTGGAGTTGTGGCCTCAGTCCCACGTTTGGGCTCTGGCTCCTCCTTGTCGACACTGTTCCACTCAGTGAGTGTGTTTACATGCACATCTGTATCCCGGTTTTGTCATGGTGCATGTAAACGCTGTAGCCTGGTTACTGCAACATAAAGTGCTGCTCTAAACCTGCACATGTACGATCTCTTAAAACATCGCAACACACACACAGAACACACTCACACACTCTTCAGCATCAACATCCTCTGTCACAGAAAGAACACTCATATTCCACTGAGTCGTGTCCTTTAGTCCGACAAAATCTGAACCGCATCATCGCACAAGAGCTTTTTTCTTTGCTTAGTTTATGCAAATTACCTATAAAAGTTTTAAATTTTGTTTCAATGAGTCTTGCATAAAGCTGCATTAAACACATTCTAATGTCAAACAGGCTGATGTGGCTCTAGAGTGTTTATGGTTTATATGTTGTAAAGTTGAGTTTATTTATGCAGATTAGTAATAGTAATAATAATGATGATACTTATTATATAAAAACGTTAATGATGAATCGAAAATTGATCATTAATTCTCCCGACGATCGATTAATACAATTTCATCGTATGCCCATCCCTAATGGGAACATGAGTGAACACAGAGCAATAGTGGGAGTGACCAGAACCAGCTGCATCACAAATACATTAAATATTGTGTACATTTTTGGTCAGTAGATGGTTGAACTTCTAAAAAAAACTCCTGTTACCATGGAAATCCACCATGTTTGTGGCAGTGCAAAAGTCTCAGAGTGTTATATTAACCAAACAACGCTACAGCCAGTATTTAACACCTTAAAATCTCCATTGTCTAACATGAGGCTCACTGATTATTCTAAGAGGTGTGAAGTCACAGTCCTGAGCTCTACTGTGTTCTCTGACTGTTTTTGAGAGCCCCCTGGTGGTTGTATAACAGAACACAACCATGACATTAGAAACATTTGGAAGTGTAAACACAGTCAGGTTTCTACACTTTGAACACACAGTTTTTTATAGTTTTTTTTTTGACCGTCTTTACTGCTCTCCCTCAGGTGCCATCGAGGCTCGCTCTGGCTGCTTCGACCAGAACACCAGAGGAACTTACTACGCCTTCTGCAAACGCCCTGCAAGAGACCAGTTTATCCCCTGCCAGAAACAGTGAGGACCACACCAGCATCTCACGCACGTCACATATTGGCTTCACTATACACATACACTATTTCCTGACCTGTGTTTTAATGTTGTTTACTCATCAAAAACAAAACTCATCTCCAGGTCTGTTTGTGATGAGGAAACATTAGAACATACAGTAGATCACAAAAGAGTGTGATATGAGCTCTTTAAATCATTTTACATTCGCTGAACCTTCTTGCGTCTGTTCCTCTGCAGAGATATCTTCTGTGGAAAGCTCTTTTGTCAATATGGAAACGACAATCCCAACTATGGGCGGATGGTGCGAGTCAGCGACTGTAAAGCCACGTTCTATGACGACTACACCAGTGACTTTGGACAGGTGGACACTGGGACCGTGTGTGGAGACGGGAAGGTACGGTGTATCGAAAATGAATCGAAATCGCAGGTCTTTATTAGAAATCGCAGAGACTGGATTCAATTTCACTTATTCATAAAATCTGCTAACCTCAACACCAATCACTCGTGCTCACACTAGTCATAGGGAAGATGCAGAACTAGGGATGGGCATGATTAATCAATAATTGATCATTAACCCTCTCCAGGCAGGCGTTGCAGATTTGCAACAGCTAAATGCCAATTACCTACTTACTCCACATCTACATTTTATGAGCTTTTTTTACTCAGGAGCCTTTTTTCCCATCTATGCTGATAAACGTGGAGGATGCAGACTGTGTAAGAACGGCTACACGCAAACGGCCTGCCAGAAGTGCAAAATACTTTTGTTGTTTACAAAGGATAAAAATTGTTTCTTGCACCACACAAAAAAGTGATGTTGTTCTGCCACTGTAAAGCTGTTACACTGAGCTTTATGTTTTCATTGTTATGAAAAGTGGTAAACACATAAAGTTAGTGTTCATATCATTTTCGGTCTTCAGTGTTAATTTACCACACCAGACCAATGGCCAAATCTGAAACATCCCAGAACGCACTGGATGTGAAGGTCTCTCTCAAAAAAAAAGTCAGGATTGTATATTACTGCCCCATATGATAATTTTTCCCAAATATCAGATTTTTTCCTGTTACTAAAATTTAATTTGAGCCTGAGAGGTTTAAGAATTTCATCGATTACGTTCATTTTAATCGACAAACCGAATGTAGGTTGCTGTGTGTAGCGTAGGGTGACCAAACGTCCGTGTCTGGGGACAAACAGGGGTGTGTACATGTGTCTCTGCATCAGAAAAGGAGCGAGACACAAACAGTGGGTCAGTCTGCAATGTACCGAAGCACAAATGCATATTTAACGATGACTTGTACAAGAAATCCCACGCTTTCTGTTCCGGTCTGGACAGTTTATTTATGCAGATTAGTGCAGATAGTAATAATAATGATGATCATTTTAATTTTAATTAAGAAAATTTAATTGAATGCCCATCCCTAGTCAGAACACTAGCATGCTAACAACACACCAGACAATAGATTTCCTGATAATAGCAATGCTTTTGAACTAGACACAGACGGCACAAAGCAGTCTCATTGTGATAGTTAAAGGTTCTTTTATGATGTACTGTACACTGTACCAGCACATTTTATTAAAAAAAAAAAAGCCTCTTTAAAATAAACTCATTCCTATTAACTCAAAGCCACATAAACTCATGTATCATTATTTATGTATGATTGAAACCTGTGTTTTATTTTGTAGGTGTGCAGTGAGAATGAGTGTGTGGACTTGGAAATAGCGTACAGGAACACCAACTGCTCTGCCAAATGTCCAGGACACGCGGTGAGGACATAGTCCAATACAATCATTAGATTTCTTTCTGCAGAGTTGGAATGACACTCTGTGTCTCTGTGTCTCTGTGTCTCTGTGTCTGTGTCTCTGTGTCCCTGTGTCTCTGTGTCTCTGTGTCTGTGTCTCTGTGTCTCTGTGTCTCTGTGTCCTCTGTGTCCCTGTGTCTCTGTGTCTCTGTGTCTCTGTGTCCCTGTGTCTCTGTGTCTCTGTGTCTCTGTGTCTCTGTGTCTCTGTGTCTCTGTGTCTCTGTGTCCCTGTGTCCTGTGTGTCCTGTGTCTCTGTGTCTCTGTGTCTCTGTGTCCCTGTGTCCCTGTGTCTCTGTGTCCTGTGTCCCTGTGTCTCTGTGTCTCTGTGTCTCTGTGTCTCTGTGTCTCTGTGTCCCTGTGTCTCTGTGTCCCTGTGTCTGTGTCTGTGTCCCTGTGTCCCTGTGTCTCTGTGTCTCTGTGTCCCTGTGTCCTGTGTCTCTGTGTCTCTGTGTCCCTGTGTCCCTGTGTCTCTGTGTCTCTGTGTCCCTGTGTCTCTGTGTCTCTGTGTCTCTGTGTCTCTGTGTCTGTGTCTCTGTGTCCCTGTGTCCCTGTGTCTCTGTGTCCTGTGTCCCTGTGTCCCTGTGTCTCTGTGTCTCTGTGTCCCTGTGTCTCTGTGTCTCTGTGTCTCTGTGTCCCTGTGTCCCTGTGTCCCTGTGTCTCTGTGTTTCTGTGTCTCTGTGTCCCTGTGTCTCTGTGTCTCTGTGTCCCTGTGTCTCTGTGTCTCTGTGTCCTGTGTCTCTGTGTCCCTGTGTCTGTGTCTCTGTGTCCCTGTGTCTCTGTGTCTCTGTGTCCCTGTGTCTCTGTGTCCCTGTGTCTCTGTGTCTCTGTGTCTCTGTGTCCCTGTGTCTCTGTGTCTCTGTGTCTCTGTGTCCTCTGTGTCTCTGTGTCTGTGTCTCTGTGTCTCTGTGTCTCTGTGTCCCTGTGTCTCTGTGTCCCTGTGTCCCTGTGTCTCTGTGTCTCTGTGTCTCTGTGTCTCTGTGTCTCTGTGTCCCTGTGTCTCTGTGTCTCTGTGTCTCTGTGTCTCTGTGTCTGTGTCTCTGTGTCCCTGTGTCTCTGTGTCCCTGTGTCTCTGTGTGTCTGTGTCTCTGTGTCTCTGTGTCTCTGTGTTTCTGTGTCTCTGTGTCTCTGTGTTTCTGTGTCTCTGTGTCTCTGTGTCCCTGTGTCTCTGTGTTTCTGTGTCCCTGTGTCTCTGTGTCCCCGTGTGCAGGTGTGTAACCACAGAAGTGAGTGTCAGTGTGAACCTGGCTGGATGCCTCCCAACTGTGACACAAGGGACGGAGAATTCTCAACCATTTCCACTGGTGAGATTTTTATTTAAGGATTTGATTGAATAAAAATGTAAAACTGTGAAAAAAAAATACAATACATAGAACAAGGGAAACTAACAGTTATAGAATTTTTTTTTAAAAACCACATGGTTTCTGTTGCGCAAGGAACAAATCTTTGGCTTTGGCATCAGGCCTGGCACCTGGAGATCGTCTCTACAAAGTTTTTCTAAAGGAAATACCAAGACTGTCATGTCTCAACTCTCATATTAAACCCACATGTATTATACTGAGCCTTTAAAGGTGCATTGTGTAACTTTTCTGGCAGAGGGTTCGTCAAATGCTTTTCTTCTTTGGGGATGTTATTGTTTTATCTGGAATGTTTCACAATATGACATTTCTACCTTCATGGAGACCAAACCAGACCAAGTTACAGGTCAGATCTGTGGACAGGCGACCCCACTCACAGTCAGAATGTCTTTTCTAGGTATTTTTGAGTTATAAAACCACCTGTAATTGAATAAATGTTGGGTAGAGCTGTTTAATGTCACACTGTGGAACATTTCCGGCAGAGCAATAACATTTCCATAGAAACAAGCAGGTGACAGACCCCCAAACAAAAAGTTACATCGTGCACCTTGGTACTGAAATTTTACAATGTTGTTGATTTAAGTATCTTCAAAGTTGTGTGTAAGACAAAGAGCAAATGTTAATATTCACACCAGTTCTGTTCTTTCTTTGATTTTTTTCTTGGAGTTTGTGGCCTGTAAAATCTGTTGAAATAATACTAAATAACACTGACATTCCTCGTGTGTCCTCCAGGGGTGATAGTGGGCATCTTTTTGGCCCTCCTGGTGATTCTCGGGATCATCGCAGTAATCATGTTCTTCATTTGGAAAAAACGCCAGGGCCCAGTGTTACCGACGTGAGTCTGAATCTTTAAGTCAAATCCAAGAAATACTGAAGCTTCAGATCCTCAGAATAATCCAGAATAATGCATGTTTGTGTCTACAGCTCTCAAATCCAGAGGAAGCCATACCTCACTCAGAAACCAGTGCAGCCCTCACCCCCTGTGGTAAAGATCTACAACAGTTTACAATACTAAAAAGTTTTTTAAAAGGGCCCATCTCATGCAAAATCAACTTTTCAGAGTTTTCTACCTTCCAAGAGTGATGTGTGGGTCTTGTATTTGTCGCCCAAGTGTTTTTTAGATTGATTTGGCGTTTTTATTAACAAATTGCAGTGTATTTCTGCCTCCCTCCCACGTGACAACGAACTAAAGCTGCTACAACGATGACGCGGCAGAAAGCAGAAAGTGCTTCACACCTGTCCCCCTCCATCACTCCACCACCTCCACCCTGCATCAGCTGACATTTCCCACATGAACATCTAAACAAAAGCGACTGCATAAGCTCCTGTTCTACAGCAGTGAACATGATATAATAAGTTTATCTACTAGTGTTTATTCAAATCAAATCAAACTTTATTTATAAAGCACTTTTCATACAAAACTGTAACACAAAGTGCTTTACAGTGATTAAAAACAATCCCACATTTCCATCCACCCACCAACCCAACCCCCACACAACCAAACAACCCAGACACGCACACACATCCACGCACACACACCCATGCACACACAAACACAAACACACACAAACACGGTAAAATACATAAAACCGGACATAGTAGAATGTGAGGCTGAAAACAGGTGAACCATCAGAGGAGCCGTCTACACCAGGAGCAGAGAGACGTCCACCTCCACCAGGAACCACCACATGGTCCAGGGGAGAGATGAAGCCCAAACACCAACCCTCCACCAGGAGCCCACAGGACAGAACCCGACAGCCACAGCCGACCTCCGCTCCTGATGCAGAGGCTCCTACAGAGGAAACACTGGAAATCCTAAAAATAAGCCTAAAATAAATAAATATAATAAAATATATACACTAGAAACAAGTAAAAGTATAAGATTTCAATCAAAAGCTAAATTAAAAAGGTGGGTCTTGAGCCTGTTCTTAAAAATATGAACGTTCTGCAGCCCTGAGCTCCTCCAGCTGCAGTTCCATAGACGAGGGCCGTAGTTCTGGAAAGACGCCTCTCCGTGAGTGTGTGTCCTGACTTTGGGAATGAGCAGGAGCTGCTGCCGGAGGAGCGCAGGGTCCACGAGGGTTTGTAAGGTAAAAGAAATTCTGACAGATAAGAAGGCCCAAGACCATTAAGACATTTAAAAAAACAGTAAAATAACTTTAAAATCGATTATTAAAACTTTACCAATCAATAATGTTCAGTTGATGTGGACGCGGTGCTTGAGCTTTGTGCACCTCAAAGTCCTGAACGCGCTGTATCTCCATGATGAATAAAAGTTTATTCTACCATTATCAGGGTGCACGTCTGTCTCCCCCTCCCTCCCTGAGATGGGCGGAGGAAGGGCGGCTCACTCGTCGCCTGCGTCACGTTTGGAGGGCGGAGCCTGTGCTTTCTCAGGACGGGCGGGGGGAGGAGCAATAGTCGACCTTTCATAGTTCCTGGTCTGTGACGCCTCCAAGAAATCAGTAAGATTTCAGAACTATTGTGTAATGGATGTTCCAAAACCTAAACTGTGCTTGTTTATGTGCAGAAGATACAATGTGAAAAGAGTTATTTTACATGAGATGGGCCATTTAAGTTTCGTCTTTTTTTTTTTTTTTGGACTTTCTTATTCATGTATGTAATCATTATCATTTAGCTTTTGATTTGAATTATTTAATGTGGTGCTTGTGTACAGCCTACTAAACCGAAGCCCAGATCAGCGCCTCCTCCGCCGCCGCCTGCCGTCATCAGGCCCAAACCGCAGCAGAACTTCGCAGCCGCCAGACAGGTGACTCCACACACCCAGACACAACAAACTGCAGCAAACGAATCGAATCTATAACAATAGAACACTTTTCAGCTTAGACAGCACCTAAGTCAGTCGATGCACAATTCAGTCTCATGTGAAAACTCAACCTCCAGAATCGACATTTTTCACAGCGTCCAGAAGTCCCTCCCTGTAAGGTTGTGGAACTTCTGGTTTTCTATGGCAAAATATCTGTATAAATGTCTCACATATTCTTCAGCAGCTTCATAAATCTGACAAGGTATGTAGAAATCGCAGTGGCGGGCCGTGCATTTCAACCTTAGGCCTTCAGTGACGCCCCATACATTAACTTCACCTCAATATAGGCTAGTCAAGCAGCACTTTATTTCAGGAGCATTTAAAACCATCAAGTATGCATTCACAATTAAGATTAGGAAACTAAGTTCACAGATATTGTCAAAAATAAAAAGGTGATTTAAAAATACTAAACAAAATGCCACCAAAATTACGCTGTGTGATCTTAAACAAGTCTGTCTAATAAATTGCGCAATGTCGCCGTTTCATATAAGACACCAACCAGACAATAACAAAACAAACTATTCTTTGAAAATAAAGTTAAGAGATCGTTTGCATTTTTGAGAATAGGCTATACAACAGCAAATAACTGAAAATATTGCAATGACAAGAAGAAATTGAAAATAAAATGCATTTACTCACCAACATAGTTCTCAACAGCGTCTGCTTATTTGAAAATAAAGTCGAGCCTCCTTTCTTTTCTCAAGAACACTTCAGTGGCTCTGTTGTACAGTTTATCGGCGCGTTTTAGGTCCATCAGTAAGTCCTTTTCTATGGACATGGAGGCTAATGCTGAAAGCCGTTTCTGTCCGGTCGTGTTTCTGGCATAAGTTTTAATACGCTTTAACGTTGAAAATGACCGCTCGACAGATGCAGTGGATACAGGGATAGTAACAGCCAAACAGGCCAGTGCGTAAAGTTGTCCCAAACTCTCACTCAGATTTTTGCTCCGAAGAAAATCATGAAGATCAGCTGGACTTCTCCCTTCAAAATCAACCATGGCATACATTACAGTCAGTTCTGTTTTAAGTCGGGGAAGATCAAATAATGATCCGTGGCTCTGTGTTAAGCTGGAGAAGGCTGTTTGTGGAAATTTTTTCCTGTATATCTGAAAGTGCTGAGGGTCGAGAAGGGAGAGAAACATCAGCCTTTCGTGGTCCTGAAATCGAGTCCGTGTCTGGGAAAGAATGTTGTCCAGAATGCTGGTGTGGAGACGTTGGTAGTGTGCGCGCAGGTCGTCTTGTGTCGCGCCCTGGCCTCTGCGCGCGCTTGGACCACCTGAGATGCGCACTGTTTCTTCGTATATTTCACTGAATTTGTCCCTTGCTCGCTCAACTGTGTCACAAAATTCGTTCACCCTTGCCATGCAAAATTGCACATCCAGTGATTTTGTCTGAAGTATTCCAAAAAGCACATCAGCATACTCAAAAATCCCATTGAATATGTTGAGCAAAAAACAAAACTCAAAATCACCCAGACGTGCAGTAAATCCATCGGCAGAAAGCACAGTGTCCTGATCATACTCATCATGGTGCTCCAATATGTGATCAAACAGTTCCTTCAACGCAAGTCTCTTCTCATAAACTGCATTCACCAATCTTGATGTATATTGCCACCGCGTCGGCACAACTTGAGGAAAACGCCGCTTGCATATGTTGTCTAGTAGTTTAGTGCGCTTCGGGGATCTGGAGAAGAATGCAGCGAGGCCATTCACATTGGCTAAAAAGACCTTACACTCTTTAAGCTTTGAGGCCCCTTGCATCAGTACTAAATTTAGACGATGCGCATAACAATGAATGAATAAGGCCATAGGTGCCTTTTCTTTAACTTTAGCCTGCACCCCATTCAACCCGGATGCCATTACCACTGCACCGTCATAACACTGTGCCACAACTTTGTCCAGAGAACATTCATATTCCTCAAATAAATGGAAAATAAGAACGGCAATGTCATCAGCTCGTTTGCCACTGGTTACATCCTCAAATTTTATGAAACGCTCCTTGACACCTGTGTCCGTCATATAGCGCAGGACGAGTGATAGCTGTGCCATGTTACCCACGTCAGTGGTTTCATCAACCATCACTGCGACAAAGGGGGCTTTTTTGATCTCCAGTTTGATCTCGTCTCCCATCACTTCAGCAATAGCATAAATTAGGTCATTCTGTATTTTTCCTGATGTCCCAGTAAACACCCTGTTAGTTGTCAGGTGGTAATGCAAGTCTGCGTCATGTTCTGCGAGAAAAGAAAGAAGTTCCACGTAGTTACCTCTATTTAAGGACTGGGCGCCTTCATCGTTTCCCCTGAATGAAAGTTCCTGTTTACCCAAAAACATGACACAATCCATCAGTCTTTTTAATATCTCCCTATTTTTTTTCACTTTTTCGTTGTGGAGCTCCGTCTCCCGGCGTACTTGTTCGCTGAGCTGCAGATCTACTCGAATGTCCCCAAACGTTTTTAAACGCACCGTAGCTTGTAAGTGCCCAGCCGTGCTCTGATGCTTCGTTGCTGCCTTGGTAAAACAACTTAAGTTGGCAAACCCAGTGTGGCTCCAAACACCAAATCGATCAGTTGCAAGCAATAGGCATTCCCAGCAGTACAATTTGCAGCGTTTCTCAGAGGCTGTAAGCCACGGGTACCGTTCATAATTGGTTGTCTGAAAATGTCGGACAAACCCTTTTCCTTGCTGGGATAGGCTAGCTAGCGCAGGGGTTAAGCGACCTCTTCTTACGATATCCAACTTTTCCTGAAAGGGCCGTCTTGAAAATGGCGTGGAAAGTAGATCTGCAACCAGATCAATGTCTTCTCCTTCGGCCATTATGGGTTAAAAATACAGCTGGCTCTTGAATTTCCGTGTTTATTTCAATTCTCCAGATTGCCGCTTGTCAGGCCCTAGCAAGTGCTAATCCAATCACCGAACGCGCACGGGTCGAGTTCAGCGTAAGACCTTCTAGCTAGCCTTGGTACGCAGAATCGAGATCTGATTGGCTATTGCAACCTGACTGTGCCCGTTCACTTACAGTGCACAGGGGCCTGCTCTGTTTATTCTGAAGGTCTCAAGCAAATTTAATTTACTTGACAACACAAGCTAGCTGAAATATAATTGGTTAAAAACTCTACCATAAAAAACACTATTGGAAGCCACTCGACTAAGTGGAAATAATATGACGTAAAGAATACAGAGAATAGAGAATCATTTTGTTTACATATTTATGAAAATAAAATAACATAAATTTACTTTTCTTGAGCATGTTTAGGCCAGCAGAGAAGGCCTTGCTGGCCCTGACGGCCCACCACTGGTAATAAGTAATTCATTAATAAGTAACTTGTGAACTCAGACTAATTTAAGAATTTAAATAAAAAATCAGTTTCATGATGAGTAATTAGCAGATTAGATTAGTGCAGTTTGAATGTTCACAGATTACACGTCTCACCTTTAAACTGCACAAATCTCTCTGTTTATGCTCATATGGACATCATGAAATAGATTTTTAATTGTAATTCTTGAATCAGTCTGAAGTGAGGATGAACAAATTCCTTCTGTTTTATTCATGACCATAACCTTAATTTTGTTCAGTGTGTCACTAATGCGTCGTCGTTGTTCTATTTTCATCTTTCTTCCCTTGATAGTTGTGGATAAATTCTTGATGTTAGAATGGCGAGGAGAAAATTCAGTTTGTCGACTGGACAAAAGTTAGTTTGGTTGAAGACGTTTCGCAGCTCATCCAAGCTGCTTCTTCAGTTCTGGTCAGAATGCTGGTGCCAGAATGCTTCCTTTTAAATAAGGAAGGATATAATAAAGTGTCACCAGCGTCTGACCAGAACTGAAGAAGCAGCTTGGATGAGCTGCGAAACGTCTTCAACCAAACTAACTTTTGTCCAGTCGACAAACTGAATTTTCTCCTCGACATGAATTCTACCTGGACGACTGAGGGATTCTTCACACATCATGTAAATGTTTAGATGTTGTTAGAATGTACTTTGTGGACTTTGTTGGTTGAAGATTTGGTGATGGGGCAGATTTATGAAGCTGCTGGAAAATACACCACACATTTTCACAGATATTTTGCCATAGAAAAGCATTAACCAGAAGTTCTTCAAACCTACAGGGAAGGACTTCTGGCTGTTGTGAAAAATGTCTATTCCCTCCCTGAGCTGCAGAGGCTGCACTAACACTGACTGATGCAGGTGCTGGGGTTTAGGAAGTGACTGTTCAGATCACAGAGACATTTTAGGTTTAAACCCACTGGATTTCAGCGTTGAAACTGGCAACACAAATGAGAGACTTTTGCTTATCAAACTTATTTGGGTTATAACAGAACATGAGGGGTGACGTCACACGCTCTTAGTCCACTTCTATTATACACACTTTGCTTTGAACAGAGGAACATTTTGCAGTGTAAAGTGGTTTGACACATGAGTTTTTTTATGGAATATGGAAGAGCAGCCTGACACCCACATCATCATCTTGTTTTCCAGGCTTTGAGACCAGTTCCTCCACCTAAAGTCTGACAGCACCCCCTGATGGCCACCATAGAGACACCTGCACATTTCAAGCTGCTGTTGTAGATGGATTTTTCAGAATAAGACTGGAGAATACAGCAGAATGGACTGTTACTTTTAAAAAGACTCTTATTTTGAAAGGCACTTTTTATACTTGGACCAAAAATGGACTGTTTCTTTTTTGTTATGAGCCTTTGTTATGAAATATTGCACATGTCTAACACTGTAATGTTTAAAACGACTGAAATTATTGATATTAATATTTGTGTCTGTGGGACAAAAATGTAAAAAAAAAATGAATTTCTATTATTTTTTGTCAATATTTGTGAAGCCAGTGTTCATCTTGTACCAGGATTTTACATCGAGCTCAGAGGAAAACATAACTCCACACATTCACATTTCACTGAAAATCTTATTGCTCTCCTAGAATCCTAGAATGTTCCTGAACTTTTTTATCACCATGGAGACAAGCTGATGACGCCACCAGGCCAAGTCACAGTCCAGATCTGTGGAGAGGCGAGCATGCATTTTAAGATACACTACTGGTCAAAAGTTTTAGAACACCACACTTTTTCCATTTTTTTTACTGTTGACCAAAACATTTTCTAAACTTTTGATTGATGTGTGTCCATCTTTGGCAGATAGAACAGCTGAACACACTCGTGGCTCGTTCTTTTTACAACAAAAATCAAATATTGTTCAGAAGGTTCTTCTTAAGTCTGTTGCAGAAGTTTCCATAAATGTGGCACTTGTAGGTTGCTTCACTCTTCTGTCCAGTTCATCCCAAATCAGCTCCATGGGGTTTAAGTCTGGACACTGTGCGTTTTGGCAGAGCTTGGTCTTGTGTTTTGTTCTTTTATCTTTTTTTTAACCTCTGTCTGTTCAGTTTTTACCTTTGTATAATTTCAAGTTCTTCATTGGACTTGCACGACTTGAACTGCAATAAATAACTGGAAAAATGATTAATAAATGCATTTATTTATTAATAAATGCAGAATAGACGAGGGAAATGACGTCCTGGAAAATTCTAGTCAAACTAATTACATCTCCATGGAGACCAGATAGTGGTGGGCCTGAGCAGAAAGGTTACCTACTGTAGCTTTAAAGGTGCACTTGTAGAGAGTTCTTACGGCCTGTGTCCCAATAGGTGGGTTTCACGTGACGTCACAGGCTACGTTTGTCATCACGCAAAATCAGATGGAGGGCAGGAAGTGAACTGACTGGAGGAAAATGCCGATGTGTTGTGTAGTTTACGGCTGTGCCAATTGTTCTAACCCAGAGAAGGAAAAGCGATTTTTTTAGAGTACCGAATATAGTCGTCCACAAGGGTCAGAAATGGGAAAAGCCGACAGAACAACGCCATAAAAAGTGGATTACAAACCTGTTCGCGATCGGGAGGAGCAGAATTCGCTAATGCTCGTGTCTGCAGTGAACACTTCGTCAAAGGTTTGTTACAAAGCTGAATTGTTTTTTGTGGTTTACCTAAACATAAATGAATCATTAACGACTAACGGCTAACGACGTTTGTTGACATTAAATAGTTCAGATAGAGGTCACTGCCGATACACTGCAGTTTTTCCCATAACATCTATACACATAAAATAAGAGAAACACTCACCCCGCGAAGACCAAACCATAATCATGATTTAGGCGTTTTGCACCGAGGTTGAGGACCCATCCACTGACAAAAAAAGTTCTATGCCTCCAAACTTTTGTACTTTGCCTTCATCTGTGGTCTGGTGTAGAACGATGTCTGAAGAGTTAAATAGTTCGTGATCTCCTCTGCCTCGATTGTCGGCAAATCTTTTACTTCAGTCAAAAATTCTCTCATTTTCAATAAGATCAGGGTCACGCCCAATATATTTGTCGACTAACTGCTCGTACATTTGCCTCGTTACTGGCTCTAAATCCTGACAATAAGAACTCATCTCCATATCTGTGTTCTCCAGAGTCGTGTTTGTCGGGTTTGTCTTCACTTCCTGCCCTCCACCTGAAATTCGCGCATCATCATGATCACGTGACTGAAACCCTCCAATTCGAGGGCTGCAGCCTCTGAAGGCTGGTTTTAAGGCCGCATACGTCACTTCTGGTGAAACAAGGCCTGTCCCATTTCATTTTTATGTCATGCAGCCTTCAAATGCAGCCCTAAAACCGGCCTCGTTTCCATGGAGATGGGGCCACGAACGGAGGACACACGAGTATCCTTCGCAACCTTCTGTATCCCAGCATGCACTGCACGCTACTTCTTCTATGGGAGAAAATGGAGTCCGTGAGCTCATCCACTAGTTCTGGCAGTTGTAATTTTACTTTTAAATGTAAGTACTGGGTTACCTCACTTACAACTGTGCTACATGAAACTTCAGAAACTGTTAGGGCCTGGCTCCACTGCCCTATTCCACGTATTTTGCCTTACGCGAAACTAGTTTTTGGACACGTAACTTTTACAATGCACTGGAAGTAATGAGAGCGGCTCTAAGGCACGTGTGTCATGCACGTGCAGTGGAGCAATGCCCTTAATTTACACCTGTATAAAGCAGTCGTTACAGCTACGTTTACGGCTGTTGTGGTGTTAGTAGCGTTATCCCTTACACTTGTATATTAGCGTAACTGTCATAATGTTGGATATTCTACACTGCTTATATATAATTATTTATATTCCATTTGTAAGAAAATTGTGTTGGTCTTGGGTCTTCCCCGGGGCCTCCTCCCAGTGGGACATGCCCGGAACACCTCCCGAGGGAGGCGCCCAGGAGGCATCCGGAACAGATGCCCGAGCACCCAGCCCACGTCCACCGAGACCCAGGACACGCTGGAGGGACTATGTCTCTGGGCTGGGGCTGGGAACACCTCAGGGTTCCCCCGGAGGAGCTGGAGGACGTGTCTGGGGTGAAGGAAGTCTGGGAGTCCCTGCTTAGGCTGCTGCCCCCGTGACCCGGCCCCGGATAAGCGGACGAAAATGGATGGATGGATGTGTTTGTCTTTAGGGAGCAAGGAGCAGACCACCTGGTTCATTGAATTAAGGCGGGAAAATGACCACCTCTTCACCGGGGCTAAGTTTTCAGCCAACACGTGCTAGAATAAAAACCGTGCTATATACTCCTGTTACATAATAAAACATCAAGCATAACAACTGTGTGAAAGCTGGCATTTCTGCCATTTGAAAACTGTTTTATGTTGTACATATGTGCGTAGTTGTGAATTAACCTGGGTTTCCCTGTTTATTTCCTGTGTTATTCACAGCCTGTACTTGTGTGATGATTAAATGAGGCCGGGAAGCTGCTGATCTGAAAAAGTATATTACAGTCACAATGGAGAATTAAACCTACTTATTATATATCACAGATAAGATGGACTTAACTGTTATTATCATAATATCTTCTTTATAAAAGCCCCATGAAAAATGTGAAACACAACAAAAATAAAAAAAATAAAAAGACAAAATGAAAGGAAAGTGTGCTGCATGGTTATTGAACAAATGTTTGCAGTAACAGTAGGAGATCTGTAACATGTTTCATATTATATTTCATAAAATGATAAAGATACTGTGTTTATTGTTGTGTTAACTTGAATGCTTTTGTTCTGTATGACTCAGGACAATACTGGAGAAGTTCGGCCTGCAGGACAGGGTAACACCTCTGCAGGCCAAAAAAAATCTGACAACCTCAAAAAAAATAAAAATAATAAAGTATGTACATAATCTGAATGATGCTATTTGTATTTGTAAAAATAAACCCTTGTGTTCATCATGTTTTGACCTGCCTTGTTTGCTCATTTCTTCTGTCAGAGGATTGCAAGTGCCCAGGGACAGGGGAAGGCGTTAAAGGGAAGGCGACAGCAGAGACTTGGCCCTGGTTTGTCCTCATGGATGAGGTTTTGGGACAGAGGCCTTCTACCAATCCCCCTGTCCTCATCGCCTCAATCCCTGAGGACACACCAGGGCCAAGTTCTGCCAGACAGGAGCAGGAGCAGGAGCAGGAGGAAGAGGAGGAGGAGGAGGAAGAGGAGGAGGAGGAACAGCAAGAGCAGCGAAGGAGATCAGCAGGACAGAAAAGAAAGAGGGAAGATGAACTATTGAAGCTGAACAGAGAAGATCTAAGGAGGCAGAGGGAAAGAGATGAGAGAGAGTCAGAGGAGAAGAAGGAAAGAATTGAAAGGCTGTTTAGCATTTTAGAAAGAATGGACAGAAAAGTGAAATAAATTAATGTTAAGAATTGGAAACGTAAATGTGGGTTTATAATGATTATAATAATAATAATGTAATGACTTAATAAAATCAAAAAGAGAAACACATGATCCAAAGGGGTCATAATTAGAAAGAAAAAACAATACATGTAAGGTAAAACTGAAATGTAAAGTTTATATAAATAAACCTGAGTGTGCCAGTGTTGGACACATGGCCTGAGTTTGGACTGAGCAGGGGCCCTGGCAGTGCTAATGAACCTCTGGCCGACTGCTGAGACTGAGGTCCTGGTCTTTGTCTTCTGGCTGCTGAGTGGGGCTCTCACACCGGGTGCTGTTCCATGGGCTGGGTTTGCAGGGCTGGCTGGGGCAATAGATGACTGCCATGTGACTCGAGACACATGAGAAAGAATAGTAATAGTACTACAGCATATTACATTACATATGTTTAGCTGTAATCTCCTATAAACACTTTCCATAAGGTTTTGAAACTGCTGCAAGTATAAATACATACCTAGACATAATCCTGGTCCCTCGGAACCTCCTCCAGGGCAAAGACCTCAGCAGACAGATGGTCACGCCACTGTGCTCCAGCAACGGCCTCAACATCATTCTCCCCCTCATCCTCCACTACATTGGGCTCTGGCTCGTCCTCCGGGGCCACGATGTCTCCTGCCCCAAGACAGATGTTGTGGAGGACGGCACAGGCGGTGATGACCTGGAAAAGAAAGAAAGAATAATCATCTTGATGATTTACTGTTTCATAATTACAAATGACAGGATATTACATGATAACACAATAATTACATTTCACTTACATGTGGTGCAAAGGTGTGGTGGACCTCCAGCGTGTGCATAAAGTTTGCCCTAAATCTACTTTTCATCATTCCAAAGGCACGCTCAATAATAGAGCCCTGGAATGATGCAAATTGAAACGCTGGGCTCCCACACCTCGCACTGGCCGTTTGTAGGGAGTGATGAGGGGGAGTGGATGCTGGAGACAGGAGTACCCACCATCTGCGAGGATGAAGTGCCCTGGAGGAGGATACAGTCCCTCTGGTAGAGAGGACGGTGCTGAAGGACCCTCACGTCGTGTCCAGAACCAGGCCTGCCCACATAGATGTCTGTGAAGCGGCCCTGATGGTCAGACACAGCCTGCAGGATGATGCTAGGAAAAAGCTTCTATTCCTACAGCACTGACCATCAGAGCCGCTGGGTGACCTGATTCTGACGTGGCAGCCATCTATTGCCCCGGCAGCTCTTGCAAAGGCCCTGTGCCTTGCCAGCCCTGCAAACCCACGGGTCACTGCCTCGAGGTCTTCTGCAGTGTTGGGGAGGTGGATCACCCGGTGACGTAGGGCCACCACCTCCCCGGTGACCCTGTGGACGATGCGGTGGACAGTGGAGCGGGGTATCCCAAAAACCCTGGAGACCACCCGGTATGATGTCCCACCTGCCAGCCAGAAGAGAAAGACCACGACCACAATCTCAGCACCCCATCCATGTCTTCGGTTGAGGTTCAGGAGGTTCATTAGCACTGCCAAGGACTCCCTGCTCAGACCAAAGTCAGGCCGTGTGTCTTCATTGTTGAAAACCCTTTCCAGCACTGGCACACTCAGGTTTATTGTACAGTGTCTTCTCCTTGTCTGGGGGAGGGTAATGTGCAGTTATACCTAAACAATAATAATAATAATTCATTGTAATCTATTGTTATTATTAATGCTACTACCTCCATAAATACATTTTAATATACTAGTGGAAGGAGTGGCATGGCATAGAAAGTAAACTGCC